GTTATGAACTTAGAAGGATCTGGGTCCTGTAATGTCAAGAACTGCTGGAGTTTTGTGGAGCTTATAAATCTCTTTTAATATCCCTTTTAGTAATTTTCTTCCCTACTTTTTCTGTATAATCTTGCCATTCAGTCATTATCTCTAGCTACTTTGTATTGGAATTTTTTGTGATCCTCACATCTTTGAAGACAACATTGTCCAAAATATATATAGTATAATTCTGCTGTGATTGTAACATAGCTCCTGACTTCTTCGGGCATGAATAGGACCTTTGATCATTTTCCCCCTATTTGTTGTATCTGGAAGGTAACATTTTCAAAACTAAGGATACATCAGCACAAAACTTTTCGACTCAGAGTAAGTTGATTGCCAATTATATGTAGTGTGTGCTTTTTGTCTTTTGTAAAGTTTTTTGCAGACACTCCCCACTTATTCAGTGCAGGCTACAAATCAATAAAACTGTGTGGGGAGAGTCTTCACAGATAAGTTAAATACCTCAAGTTAATTGGCAAGCAGCTAACTCCATGTAAAAAGTCTAGTGCAGTCATATACCCTCATGGGTGCACTTAACTTTGTGTTCATGTACTTTTTTAGCTGTTCCAAGGTGATGGTCTTGAATGATGAATTATGAAAATGTAGTTCTTGCAATCTGTGGAGTAGCACTTACAGCAAGATCACTGACAACAGAAATCCTCTTTTCCCTAGACCCACAACACATACCTAATTAGGTGTGTCACCATTTCATCTAGTCAGTTGCCTCACATAGGACATTTATATAACCTTCCATTTCATAATAGGATATTGAAATAACTACAGTCAGTTTATTTGCAGAGCTAGTATAGATATGAACAAACATGTCTTTTAAATGCATTTAAAGGGGAGAGGGGGCTGCTACCCTGAAGTATCAGATTTACAGTCGGACTGTTAGGTCTACATGATCCTGAGCTGAATCACCCTAACTTTGACCCCAAATGAAGCAGGGTTTAATTTGAGTGGCCTTAATACACTTTTATCAGTATAGGATCAAGCAACGTTAACAGTTGTATCACAACAGCTTATATTGATGTCCTTTGATAGTGATACAATTTGTTAGGTCTGTCTTTATCTTGTGTTAGTCTGAATCCTCTAGTGGATATAGTTTCCCAGTCACTGGACTTGTCTTTCTGGAGACAGATTAGAAAGCCCATCACTTCTAAGGCTTCAGAGTGCTCTTGCCTAAATGGGCCTGCTTTGTGATCTATAAAATATTCTATTCAAAACTTAAAGCTTCTCTGCCTACTGAATAAATCTATTATACTAAAAGACAGTATGAGCAAACAGTGATATTCTAGGACCTGCCAGCTACAAGTACACAAATAAGTTATTTTATTTTTGCTTTTAATGTCTCAAGCCCTCTCTCCTCTCTGCAGTTCACATAATTTCCAACCATTCTCTACTCAGGAGACCACTCAAGTTAAGGCAATTTCAAATAGACTATGAATCTCTTGGAAGAATAAATATATAACATTTGTTATGTATGGAACAGATCTTATTCTTGTGGTGTTACTTCTCACCAATATGAGCAGCCCTGCACAAGTCAGTGGTGTTTATATGAGTAACTGCTCCCCAGTTATGTAAAGGGCTTGCAGTCTCTTCTTGAATATGCAGGAAATCTATGTAACATTGATTTCTACCTTCTTCCATTTAGAGAAGTAGGAAAAAAACACCAATGTACACACACAGCAAAGTGCATTAAGATCTTTCATTATATATAAGATTAGTAGAAAGAGTATACAGTAAAACTTCATTAATTTAATATTGAATAGTTCAAAAAGTTGGATACCTCAAATCTGTTTTCACTCCCCAGCTGAAACTATAAGTTTTTATATGCAATATAATACGGACATTTCAAAATATGGCTACTTTGAAATTTGAAGCTATTTTTTGGTCCTTTGGACCATAAACCCATAAAAACTTGTTTGTTTACTTCAAAGTACAGTAATACTGTGTAGATAACACTGCAGCATTAGTCTATAGAGACAGTGTTCTTTTCTATCACAAGTCTTGTATGCCGTGCATAATGACAGTCCCCACCATTGCTCAATAGGGTGCTAGTAATTTTACGTTGCCAGAACTGTCTGTACCTTTCAGCTATGCATAAGTCCAGCAGGGCTGACCATCGTGGTGACTAAGAGGAAGTACAAGCAGTTAAACATTTTACAGAAGTTGAAGGTTATATATGAAGTAGATAAGACAATGAAATCTAAACTAGTAATTGCTAAAGAGTATGGTATTTCTTCTTCTGCACTTTCAACCTATTTGAAGAATCAGGATTCAACAGAGAAGATGGCAATGGAAGAACATGAAACTTGGAAAAGGAAAAGAATCTGAGAATCTGAGGTGCAAACCATTCAGGTTTAGAAAAAGAACTGTTTGAGTGGCTTTGTGATATGAGGGCAAATAATATTCCAATATCTGGACCACTAGGTAAAGAGAAAGCAGACAAAATGGCGTGGAAGCTAGGACTTGAGTTTCAGTGTTCTGATGGTTGGCTCCAGAGATTCCAACATCATCACAACATTGTTTTACTTTTTATACATGGCAAAGCATATTCCACCAATGTCATGGCTGCAGAAAATTGGCGTGAAAGTGTGAAGCCAGTTCTGGACAAATACACACTGAAGGACACTTTTGATGCTGATGAGACAGGACTTTTTTATAACCTGCAGCCTGATAAGACACTGGTACTTAAAGGAAAACTTGTCATGGTAGGAAGAAATTGCACAGTGGGAAAAGGTTCACTGTGCAGTGCTGTGACAGTAGTGAAAAACTACAGCCACTACTAGTGAGGAAGTTTGAAAATTCCCAGTGTATGAAAAGCGTGAAACAACTGCCACACCTGCACAAGGCCAACAAAAATGCATGAATGATGATTAAGTTGTTTCAAGAGCGGCTGCTCCAATTTGAAAGAAGGATGGCATGCCACAGTTTAAATATGCTCCTACTAACTGATAATTGTGCAGCCCACAATTGGGAAGGATTAGGCCTGAAAGCATGTGTGTGTGTGCTCTTTCTCCCAGTGAGCACCATGAGGTATATGCAGCCCCTAGATCACGGTTTAATATGCCATGTTAAGATGGCATAGTGGAAACAACTGTTGCATTATCTGCTGCAGGAGTTTGCCAGGAATAGAACAGATACACAAAAATGGGAGGTTCTCAGTGCTATGAGAAATGTCATTATTGCATGGGATAAAGTTCCAGCCCATGACATCAAACTGTTTCATGAAGGGTGGCTTTGGCACCAAGGCTACCAAAAAATTGAGATTGAGTAAGATGATCCTAACTGGGCTAAGCTTCAGGGAGAAATGGATTGCCCCACCAGTTTCCAGGAGTTCATTAATGTTGATAATAAGGTGTCAACTTTTGCAGAAGGCCATGGTAAAAGAGCAAGTCAAGACGTCCCTATGGAGGAATACACAGAAAAAAACAAAGAGGCAGAAGAAAACAAGGAACCAGAATCTGAGCGAACACATGCCATGGAAGGAGGCTTATGTGGTGCTTGCAGTCCTCGATTCCATACTGAAAGACAATGCTGCTGCCATGGATGAGGGATTAATGAAAGCCATGGGGAAAAAAATCAATGAATTTGTCCATGACCAATATGAGGCCATGGTCAAGCAGGCTACAATACACTTTTTCTTTAAGAAACCATGAGAAAGATTATACAGTTACTGTACACAGTGGTTTCATATAATAAATTTAGTGTACTGTAGTACTATAATTTGGATAATTCAACCTGTTTATTTCAAAGTTGGTATATTTTAGTCCCTGTGTTTTAAATTAATGAGGTTTTACTGTATAAATATCACTTAATCTAAAACGTGGCTCTAAAGCAAAACTGTGAATGACATCATCTTTTTTTATGCAATAGTAGCTGCAGGTTATTTATGGAAGAGACCTCCCCAAAGAGCTGACTGTAGTCCAGAAGCCTGATCTGGCCCAGCTTTGACAGTCTTTAGTGGGAGTTGGAGTTGAATAAGTGAAGGCAGAATTGCACCGCATATCTCCTGCACTGATTATCATAGGTTATACAGAAGCAAAAATCTGTTGCCATTTACACAGGTGTAAATCTGAAGTAACCTCCCTGAGTTACTTGGAGTTGTTCAGAATTTACTGGGTTACAAATGGGGGCAGCAATCAGGCGTGCAGTTCCAAGAGCTATTTTCAAACATTTCCAATTGGCAGCATACCTCCAGCCTCTGAAAACCCCCAACACTCAGATGTGCTGGCTGATTTTCTTAATTCTCTTTGCCTTTCTTATCACTCACTCTGAGTCAGTTCCCTTGCCAGCCCCTTTCCTGTAAGGTATCCTTTAATTTCTTCTGACAATTTAATCAGTGTATTGACTAGGGAAATTCTAAAACAAAAACAACGGCTCACCAACTGGCATTTCTTCCTATTATGTCACTTTATAACCAAGCTTGTGTGAATTTTGAAGATTCATGCCCATTTGGGGATCTTGTTCCATCTACTGGATGAATAAGTGAACTCAGGTGTCAATAAGTGCAATTCTGTTCTATCTATTAATGCTCTACTTTTGTACATGCTATCATCTCACCCTTAAGATTAAGCAACAAGGAAGACCCACTCACCTTTTTTGCATTAACTGGTTTTCAGGGACTCAAGCAGGGTGGAACAGAATCACACATAAACATCTAAGTCCACTTATGTGCCTAATAGGTAGAATATAATTTGGCCCTTGGTGTTTCAGGGACAGGTTTGTGCCAGTACTATTTTTCTATAAGCAGCATGCTTACCCCACTATATATTCTTAATCTGAAGGAGCATCCTGGTTTCTCAGGCTCCCATGTTATCTGGATATTATATAGAGTTCTTGAAATATGCTCTGTTGCCTTTAGTCACTTCATGTTGACAGTAGTAGTGAGAAACTGTAGCTGGGAAAGTGTAAAGTTAATTCTTTTGAAGAATAAGCTCTGATCCTAGATGTTTATTTTTCAGACAGCGGAAGGATGAGCTGGAACAGAGAATGTCTGCTCTCCAGGAAAGCCGGAGAGAGCTGATGGTTCAGTTAGAAGGCCTCATGAAACTGCTAAAGGTAAGGTACTCCACTTGTTATTCAAAGAAAATGAAATGTAGGCACACTAAGGAATTGCAAACTCATTCCTTGGAGTCTCAGAACAGCAGAAACTTCCTATGCCTAAAGAAGGGTGATTGCACCCAAAAGTTTGCAAAGAACTTTTTTCCAACTACTTGGAAGATATCACATCTCCCCAAAGAACCTTGCCTGTCTAGACAGAAAAAATACATTTTCATATTAGCAAATTTCTATTCTTGTTGGATATTTCATCCCTTGAGTTTTTCCTATCCCTGTTCTCCCCTTGTTTTCCCCACTCAAATTCATGGGTTTTCAGTATTAGTAAACCATACAACTTATGCTGTATTCCAGTATTAATATTACAGTGTCATAATCAACCAACTTCTACATTAATTAGGCAACCGTTAATAGTAGTTGACTAAGCACTGCTGAAAAATAATTAAATTCCTTTCAAATATATAAATAAGGCCCACTGTTGTTTAGCCCTGTCTAGCTAACTTGTGAGAAGCTCTGGCAGTATTGCTGGGTCTTGGATTAATGATCTGTGGACCAGCCCTAATTTTTTTTCAAGGTGTTCTCAATCTGGGGTTTATTTACAGTTTATTCCACTGAAGACGTCGATTACAGAACAGGCCAAATATATAGAGGAAGGCAATAAATAATAAACACAAACAGATATATACCCCCCAGTGGCAATTATGTTACCATTATATATGGTCCTCACCCTCCAATCCTGGCTGATGATGCTTTGCTAATTTTCCTTGCTCCTTTAACTTTCCTCCTTTCATTCTTAATTCAATCTGAGGATACCTACCATTTGACTGTACTTCTTGAGTGTGCTGCCTTAATAGTACTTTGTCCTTTCACTAAAAAAGAGAAAAATACCTTGTAAAATTCACCAAAATACACATCTAAGCCCTTTCCCAAAGGGTCTCATTTCAAAGAATATATGCATGCTTTTTTTGAGAAAGGCAAGATGGGAAAGAGTGCTGCTTTACCTTTACCTAGGCAGCAAAAGGAGCCCCAGCCATTATCTTCTGAGACAAGATCCTTATTGTCAAAAATTCATTGCTGTGGCACTCATGGCCTCCTCAGAGTAACTGTGCCATTGAAAATTGGTCCTCCCAGAAAGAAAGCAAGTTTCCCCAAAGGGTGGGAAAAGATCACTTGAGCGCAAATGTAAGGGAAACATTAGAAGTATATTTTCTTCTTCAGTATTGACAAAATCTTATCTGGAAAGGAAAGGATGGAAAATGGGCTTGCAGCATGGATGTCCAGTCTATTGATGTGTCAGTAATATGGTTGTAATGGACCAGGTTTTGGCCCAAGGGTCATGTTCTGCCTTGAATCAGGAGAGTGCTGTGCCTGCACGCATGAGAAATCCCTCCATGTATTGCAGATGCAAAGGAGTAAGTCTATAATGAGAATGGGAAAGATGATTAGCCATTCCAGTGAGAGTATGACCCCATGGTATCTGAAATGCTTCTTTGCAGATGATTCAAAGAATAGTGACTGCAAAATTCACACTGGGAAAAAAAACCATGAATTGACTAGCAGTCTTTATTTTGGAAGGTTCAAATAAGTTGACTGTATGGGCATTCTCCACAGGTCAAATGTGGCTCTGATAAAAGCATAAATAATTCCACTGAAGTGAATAGACCAACACCTGCTCATGTCTGGCAGTTTATATAATTTGTATCTTCCTGGGTTTAATACGCTACATTCTCTGTTCAAGAAAGCTGTGCCTGATATGGAACCAGAGAAGCAGAATAGAGGTGGCTTCTAAATAGTGGAGCCAGGCAAGAACTAGTGAAGTTCATACAGCCTGGCCCCAGGACTTGTGACCCCCAGGCCCTTAGAGTCAGGGATAATCACGGTGCACAGGCATGCTCTTCCCAATGGTGCTGTAGTGGGGCCAGGAAGAGAGGTGACCCCTGCAGAATCTCTGAGTAGAAAGCTGTACTTTTCTTGTCTCTTTACACTGCTGTGGCATTTCAAAGCAACCACAGCAGAGGCTCTGGTTTGGTATCTTCAGGTGATATCAGTTTAGACCAGGGCTGTCCAACTGGTGGTTTACAGGCCCTATGCGACCTGTAAGGGGTTAAATTGAGGCCCTCAGGCTCCCATCCAGCTGCTGCTCCCCTGCTCCCCCCATTGCTTCTGCAGCTGGAGTGGAGGGAGGGGGAGGGGGGCAGCAGCAGCTGAGTGAGAGCCTGGGGGCTGGGATCCCTAGGCTCCTTCCTCTTCTGGCTTCCCCTTCCCTGTCCCAGGTACTGGGGTGTTGCAGTGCAATGCAGCCCGCAGTGCTGGAGGAGCCTGTAGCCTGCGGCACCCAAGAGGCATGATGCAGCAGAGAAAAGTCCACAGCCAGGGAGCTTAGTGTGAAGCGAGGCACCTAGGCACGTGGTGCAGCCGGGTTGTGAAGCTTTGAGGGTCCAGTGAACCCACTGGTGTGGCCTCAGCCACTTAGAAGTTGGACAGCCCTGATTTAGACCTAACCGTTTCCCATGAGTTTTCATGATTTTTCCCCTTCGGCACTGAACTCCTTGCTAATCTAACTCTGGTGGTCCATTTTTTTTTTCTTTAGGAAGAAGAATTGAAACAGGGAGTAAGTTATTTGTCTTGTTATAGGACTCACTAACTCTTAAATAGGATTGAGAACTTGTGATTTATCATTTTGCTTCTGCTTAAAAGGTGTGCTTATGTCTTGGACTGAGAATAATATGTTGCACTTCTTTCATACATCTTATATGAGGATTTCAAATCAATTTATACAAACTTCACAACACCCTTAGGAGGGAATAGTGGCTACAAGAATTTTTTTTCTTGCTGTTCTAAGTGAGGTAGTTTTAGGCATGAAAAGCAATAGCTGTTTAGCAGTCCACAGCATACGACCACCTTGACTAGAGAGTGAAAAACACCACAGCCCCTTATAGCCATTTAAAACTGCAGGTATCATATCAGGGAACAGAAGAAAATTATCTGAGTTGGACTTCGCTTAGGAGAATGGGCTTGAAATCCCCACTTGTTCAAAAAGGGCTCAAAGGATTTTTCCTGGCCACAGACGGTCAGGATCTTGTTTTTTACATATTCTAAAATTAGTATTGGCAGCAGCTTTCCAGTGACCCTGAAGGACAGTCATTTTATTTTCAAAAGTAATGCAAGAGTTTATATTAATAGTGTTGAGTTTTGGGAAAATTTAACTAGCTTGTAGCTCTTTAGCATGAAATGGATCCTGTGAAGATTGTTAGACCTAATATAAAAAGTGAGAGTAGTAAGGAGCATCTTAATGTAACAAAAAACACATTGGTCCCTAGTTTCACCAAAGGAAGTCAATGCTCAGTAGAGTTAACAATCTTCCCGTGACTGGAAACACTACTTAGGCACCATTTCAGTTTGTTACTAACAGTTCTGAGATGGAGCATGAATCTGTTGCAGCAAAACAAGTCATGGTTATATTCCAGAGAGTAAGACCTACTAAACATCATCTCTGAGTGAGTCTTTTTTTCTTCTTTTTTCTGTCTAATAACGTTCATAATTTTCTTTAAAAAAAAGATCATATAGAATAGTCTCTTTGCTACCTAGAGTAAAAACACATGTTAATGATATTCTACAACTGTAGTATTTAGGGCCTTTTAATACAAAATCAACTTTCAGAATGGCAGGTGCTCACAGTAAAAATTAATTATTTCTACCTGCCCTCTAAATGTCCATGAAATGTTCCCCACTAATCCCTCAAATATGCTGGTTCATGGTTCTTTCGGGGGCATAAGGCTATTTTCATCCCCAGGGGAAATTTCTAATGCTTATGTAGTTTCAATTTCTTTACATCCATAAAAATTTGTTCTCTCAGAAGAGTAACAAGGTCATCACATATGTACTGTCTTTCTAGCTGTAGTATAATAACATGACAACATTAAATCCAGGTCTGACTTTCCCGAGATGTGAGTTAGTTTCAACTCCAGTAGAGGGAGCAATGGACTAAAGATCCAATATAACCAGTCTTCAAGTGTATTATACTTATGCACTAGCTAATGTAAATCCTGTCCCAGTTTAACGAGGGATAATTTAAAATGCTTACAACTTTGATGTAAGTGTAATGAGTTAAATGGAGCTGATGAATTTCTCATAAAAAGCAGCTGGACACTGACAGCTGCAGTCAGTTAACAACTGAAAGCTGAAGCCTGCTATGTCCCAGCAGTGGTTGCAGCAGGTTCCCTCAACCACTCTGTTAGCATGCATGCATCCTGATCTGGGTGGGCTAACCAGAGCTGAGAGTGGATTAGTCCTGGGTCCCTCTGTTGAGACTACCAATAAGCAAGTAATAGGCTTCGGACACAGCAGTTTCTCCTAGGATATATAAAACCACTTTGTACTCAAGTCATTAAGCTCATTTCCAATGAGTGTCACTGGCCACTAAATATAAATAACTGTCCAGTGGTAACAACGTTCTGTTGCCAGAGACCTGGGCTGAAATTGGTCTAGCAAAATAAAATACACATATCAAAAAAGAGTCAGGGACTCTTAAGCCATCCAGTCCCCAAATCGCATCCCATTTCAACTTTCTTTTGATTATATTATATGGGTAAGATTGGACAAAAATGAAAAAAACAAAAATTTTATCTGCATGATGCGCAGCAAAAAGCAAATGGCTAAGTTTGCATGCCCTACCAAAGATCTTGTTCAGAAAATGAAAGTTAGCATTAACAGTGCGTTATTTCCCAAACATATTTAATCAATATATAGTCACTGTAGAATGTTCAGAGAAGAAATGCCTAGGAACATCTGTTGCAGGACAAGCCACATGACAGTCATAGAATTTGATAGTTCCTAGAAGTCTAATTTATTGGACAATATTTGCATATACAGACATTTCCTCATCTTTCCATATAGTTCTTGCTGTCTTTCTGTTTTTCATTATCATCCCAGTCAGTGGTAATAGGAAACAGGAAAAAAATAAATACAGCAGGGAACCGTGGGCACCATGGTCTCCTCTGCCAAAATATGTTTAGTGGAGGAATAGTCATCAGGGAGGCATTTGCAGCTCTGCAGTATCCTGCCTGGTCTATCCTAGGATGGCCTCCATAGACCTTAGAACAACATCAGAGTTTGAAACTCTGCCAGCTGGTAACAGTCTCCAGAAGGTCTGTTTTGCCAAAATATTGCTTGGCAGAAGTTTCAGCTGGCCAGATCCAGCTACATTTAGTCCTTTGCACTGCTAGAAGGATATAAAAGAGCCAAAAAACAGGAGAGCATCTGGTCCTATGAATTCAGCATTTCCTTCACTGTCATTTAAATATCCTAAAACGTTTTCAAAAACAAATTGTTAAAATATAAGCTAGTCACTCTCTAGTTAGAAGTGTTTCTCTCACGCATAAAGGTAACTTACACTTACAGAGTCCTGCCAGTCAGGTTGTACTAATAAGAGGGCCCTCAAAAAACAAAACAACCCACCCCCCATTCCCAACCAAAACCTGCTCTATCAGTTGCAGTTAACTGGTAATAACTGCTTTTCTTCGAATCAGCATACCTATAGTAGATAGGCACAGTCAGGGACAGAAATTCAGAGGAAGAATAAATAGATACAGATCTTGAAAAAGTAAACTAAACCAATCTGATAAAGCACTGTTGTTGCCTGTTTTTGCGTGTGGGTATCAATACCTTCTCTTCAAGTCACTAGAAAAGTCAAGGGAAGTGGCACTGAAAAGTTAAGGAATCCATCTTTACTCTAAACAAGCTAGCACATGTGCACTAGTTGCTGTTTTAATAGTCCTCATATGGCTGTCACAGGTTGCAGCGAAATACACATTCCCAAATCATGCTAAATAGCCTGTGGTTTGGTTTTGTTCCTGTTTTCTTTTGACATATATCCTCAGGGATTTCGGTGCATTGAAGGAAGAGTGCATTCATTCTTTGTGTCCTCAGCATCATTCACCCAGATCCATTTTTTTTAAAGTACTGTGAGGTTTTTTTTAAAGTATGCTTGAATTTCAGTTAAGTGATACTAACTGTAAGGTACTAACAGCATGACATTGTATATGACTAGTGTTAAAACATTTTAACTTCCAGCAGGTGATCCCATAATAGGAATTTAAATGGCCTATCTGAACAGCACATTGGGAGTGCCTGAGCCTATCCTGCAGTGTGAACAATGTGATAGTGTATGATTTAATAGTAGCTTAACTTACTCTGTAGCCAAAAACTAAAAATACAAATGTATACTATTTAAGGTTGCATGTACATTACAAAGATTTCTTGCATGAATGAGGCTTGAAAGGGAGGGTGGGGTTGTTAATAGGCAGAGGTCAGAGGATCAAAGCACAGGTGTATAAAATGCCCAAACATGGAAATATTTCACTCCAGGAAAAGCTTCAGTTCCTTTCTCAGACTCAGTTTCCTTACTGCCAACTTCCTTTTACTTCTTGCAGCCTGGAGGAGCTGTCTTGTCAAGCATTCATGTGAGGATTGCCAATATTCTTACAGGGTTGGGGTTCAGAAAAAGCCCCAAACATAATATTTTTGGCCTTTAAGTCTTGTTTCCTTTAAATTTACTTATCCCACCCAACTTCAGGACAAGGTCCCGACCTCCTCAACCTCTTTCTATGTACAATATCTTTACTGAGAAATGTCTGGATGTTTCCTAGCTAAGTAGTTGGGTGAACGAGTTTCCCTCAAGAGATGTAATATTACCTTGCTGTTCTGCAAACTGCATGGGACCAGATGAGGTTTAACCCAGTTGAATGAGGAATGGACATAGATGTCAACAGCAAATGTTTTCTCATTGCAGAGACCTTCTTAACCACTTATTCTTATTTTCTAGACTCAAGGAGCAGGCTCACCTCGTTCTTCACCCAGTCACACTATCAGCCGTCCAATTCCTATGCCTATCAGGTCTGCATCTGCCTGCTCCACCCCAACCCATACACCTCAGGATTCTCTGACAGGAGTAGGAGGAGATGTGCAGGAGGCTTTTGCTCAAAGTAAGTTGCACTGTTATACAGAGACTGTATTTCAGTGTCTTTAATTTTTGTTTGGTTAATGTTTAAAAATGAATGTGTGTCCTAGAGCTCTCTTCTGGGACACACAGAATCAGTGAGCAGAGCTGATGTCATCGTCATTGGCAATTTGAGGATGATCTCTCCCACAGCTCAGTGATGGGTCTTGAAGTGACTTAAGAGTCCAATCTTTGAACCACAGGCCCATCCACAGAAGTTGCAGGTCTTTCCACAGGGGAAAGTAGTCCTTAGGCCAGGATTTCTCTCCTTTCCCTTCCACTCTCTCTTCCCTCCTTCAAGGGCAAGATGCTTTACCTCGAAATGGACAGCCACTTGGTTGAGGTTGCAGCTCCATTGGAGCTGGTCAGCAGCCTATTCCTCCCTTGTCTTAACATTGGCATCTGCTTTCTTGAGGTATGCCTTCAATGTGTCCTTGTAGGATTTCTGCTGGCCACCATGAGATTTTAGGCCATTACTAAGCTTGAAGTAGAGCACTTGTTTTGGGAGTCAAGAATGAAGCATCCACACACAATGTCTAGTCCACTGAAGTTGGTGCTTGAAGATTACTGACTCCTAAAACAAGCAGGTGCACAGTGGATCCTGTGCTGGATCTCTTTATTAAGGTTTGCTCTCTGAGAGAGGTGGCTACTGAGGTAGGGGAAGTGCTTGACTTGCCTCCAAGATCTTTCCCTCAATGGTAATTTGAAGAGTAGGGGTCACATTTGTGGCCTGAGGCAGGCTGATAGAATACTTCAGTCTTCTTGATGTTGATAGAGAGGCTCAAAGTTCAATAGGTTTCTCTGAAAACACCCAGTACAGTCTGGAGGTTTTCCTCAGTGTGAGCAAGGATGGTGCAGTCATTGGTTTCCTGAAGGTCAAGGATGGTTGTTTTGCATGCTTTGAACTTTGACTAAAAATGTCCATATTAAAGAGCCCTCCATTCATTCAGTGTCCATTCCAGAAGAAAGGTGGTCCTTAATGAGAACCAAGGTGACAGTCAGAAAAATAGAGAGCAGAGTTGGGGCTTTACCCCAGTTCAGGGTCAAGCCCCAACTTGAGTTCCAGAGCTGCTTGACCCCAGTTCAGATGACAAATAGATCTGTCTCTCAGCCACTACATAAAACAGTCACAGTCGTCTGGTTATGGAGAAGCCTCAAGACCTTGATGTCCTTTTCTGGACACCCAAATCTGGCTGGTACTTTCTACATTGTGATTCCAACAGGACTTCCTCAGCAAGAGGTAGAAGATGGTTCAATAGTTTCCACACACTAATTTATCTCCTTTCTTGAAGATAGTCATGGTGTTGGCATTCCTCAGATCCCCAAGATTCAGTTTATTTCAAATCATGGAATAAATTTGTGGAGTCTCAGGAGCAGTTCTTGCCTTACAGATTTCAGCAGGTATGCCATCCAGCCCAGTGGCCTTGTTGTTCTTGGCTTCCTTGATTGCACACCAGACTTCTTCTAAGATTGATTGGGCTGGTAAGGGATCCTTTTCCAGGATGTTGGGGGATGGAGAAGCCCCCATGGCTGCCCTGCCCAGGCCCATTCCCCGCCAGGCCCTAGCCTCCTGCCACTTAAAAAAAAAAAAAAAAAACTCCGCACTCACCGGCAGCAGCAGAGGCTCTGGAGTCTCCTAGAAGAGCCCTCCCATGCAGCCCCCACTCCCAGATCGCCCCCCCTCACCTGGCCTTGCCCCAGTGGGCCCCCCTGCCCGGCCCCAGCAGTCCGGGAATGAAAACAAACAAGCAAACAAAAAAAACACACTCATCAGCAGTGGCAGTGGGGGCTCTGGGGACATGTGGCAGAGCCTCCTTGCACAGCCCCCACTCCCTGATCTCTCCCCCTGCCCAGCCCCACCCTGCCCCCAATGGCTGCCCCACCCAGCTCTAGCATCCTGACAATTTAAAAAAAAAAAACCCATACTCACGGGCTCTGGCAGCAGTGATCAGGACCTCTGGGGGGGATCAGGGAGCAGAGGCCCCAGAGCCCCCACAGTCCCTGCTGCAGCTGGTGAGTACAGAGCTTTTTCTTTCTTTTTTTTTTAAAGTGCTGTGAGGCTGGGGCCAGGCAGGAGATGGGGCTGGGCAGGGCAGCCATGGGGAGAACCTGCAGGTGCCCAGCTGTACAGGCCTCTCCCTGGCCTATCTGTATCTCCAAATCAATTCAGAGGCTTCATATTCAATTTGGACCTTTTAATGGATCTCCGATTCGATTTGGAGATTCAAATTTGGAGATTCGTCCTCTGCATCGAGCCAAATTTCCTCTAAATTGAATTGGCAACTGAAACTTCGTACACCCCTAGTATCTGGACCCTTGAATCCAACATAGTTGAGAAGGTGCCAGTGCTTAAAATGAGGGTGTCTCCAGGGGGTCTTCTATGTGTCTTTCTGAAGATGGTGTTCACGATGACAATAGCATGCTCCATGCATTTGCTCAGGAAAAGGATGTCATTGGAGTTGGGTTTCCCTACTTGTTCCTTCTCAATGATGCCACTCCAGAGTTTCAGGTCATGTCCAACTCTGCCATTGAAGTCACAAAGGAGATTGATCTTGTCCTCCTTGCATGTTAGTCAGTACCTGGTCAAAATTGGAATAAAACTGTTCTTTAACAGCATCGTCAGCATCAAGCATTGGAGTATATGCACTGATGACAGTGGTGTGCCAGTTGTTGCTGAGCTTATGGCAGAGGATAATAAAATACTCATTAATGCCCACAGGGAGCTCCATAAGTTGACTGACCAGCTGATTCTTAATGGCAAAGCCAATGCTTTGAATGCATATGTCCTGGGCCGGTTTCTCCTTCCAGAAGAAAATGTAGCTTCCACCTGCGTCTGTCAGCAGATCCTCATCTGCAGAATCTTGTCTCACTCAGAACTACAGTGTCAATGTTGTATCTAACTAGTTCTATGAGAGACAAAGGTAGTTCTTTCTGGTCATTCATTCTCGAGGTGAGAATATGACATGTTGTGAAAATCATTTTCATCTTATGATGTTTTTGACCATAGAGAGAGTGACCCCACTTGATGCAGTTTTCCAACCAGGAGCAGATAAGACAGTCTAAATTTAGGGCACCTTTTCTATCCCCTTCCACATGTGGGGTGAGCAGAGGAGTTCCTGAACAGGACTGCTCAGTCATGGTAGCAGCTGCCGAATTGCACCCCTGTCTCAACCCAGGTTCAAGACAATCATCAGGCTGTCACCACCTGCATGCAGATTTGTGGCTGGAGATTGCCAGATTCACTAGTTTTGTCTCCAAAAAACCCTTCATCACCACAGGGTTTTTGGAGGTTGGTACAGAAGAGTATGTTGTTTCCTGTGGTAGAAATCTGCCTGTGACTTTGTTTAAAGTAAGGAAGCTGGTGCATGGAAACAGCAACCACACAATCCTGACAAGGTGGACATCTGAGCCCAGTGGTAAGAGAGAACCCTGGACTACAAGAGACCTCCATCTTGCTGTAGCCTTCTGTCTTTACAGCTGTTGAGATCCTGACATCTTCTGACTGATCTGCCACTGAGAACTTGAGGTTTGGACTGTAGTTTACCTGGAACCTCCCCTCAGGCCTGTTCATCATGGGTGCTCCTGCCAGGAGCGAGAGACTGGGCGACATAGCTCTGTGGGTCATTGGGATACACAGGCCTCTCCACCACAACAAGGTCTCAGTCCATGAAGAGGATCTGATGTCAGGTGGCTGCAGTATTAATATGTCAACCTCCCTCCCAGAAGAAAGACTTGTTCCTGGTCATTGCAAGCTAGATAGATAGGTTTTGTGTTGTTGAGTGGTTGTTCTCAGGGGAAAAGCAGACTGAAGAAGTAGTGGACATTTTTGCATTCTCATGGTGTTTATTAAAGCGTTGTTATGGGATGCTCTGTACTTTTTTTAATTTGACAAATAAATAGGAAAAAGTTGGAAGACCATCCAAGGCTGATCATTTTGAATTTCTAAGATTACAGATTAAGTGACTGTCTGAATATAGAAATAAATCAATGATCCATTAAACTTGAATGCAAATGTGAAAATATCTCTCCACTCACTGATTTATAGTCTTCCCAGATGTTCATAGCACAGAGATTTCCTCTTTTTTCCTTGAATGCAAAGGGCCAAATTCTACTCTTTCATACCAGTGGATGTCAGAATGTCCGTGGAGTTGTACTGGCTATATTCTAAATGAATGAGAACAAAATTTCTCCCTCGGACTCGGTTCTGCACTCACCTGCAACTTTCATTAACTTCAGTGAGAGTTGTATCCATGTATTTGAATAACAGATTGAGCACTATTCAATCAAGATTTTTCCATAGGAAAACCAGTTCTGATATGTTCAGTGCTGTCCAGCTAGAGCAGGGGTGGACAAAATATGGCCCACAGGCCATAGCCCACCAGCCAGTTGATTCTGTCTGGCCCATGGATAAGTTTTGGGTAGATGTATATCATGTTTGTTATCATGTTAATAATTTATTATTTTGATTAAGTGTGGCAACGACATGAAGAATGCAGAACCGATGCTTGCACATGGCCTTTCTGACTGCTATGCCTGCACTTGTCCACTAGAGGGCAGCAGGGCCCAAAGCTTTCTCCTTGCCCTTGCCCACAGGAGGGCAGGAGCACTCTGGGTATGGCCTGCAGCAGCCATGTGCAGTGGCAGAGAGAGCAGTGGTATGAGTCGAGGGGCCTTTTGTACATGGGCAGAATTAGCAAAGCAGCCCAAAAATGTCCCACAAGGAAATGTGTGGCAACCCTGTCTGGTCCCCTCCCCAAGCTCCCATGAGCACTGAGGACAGTAGGTGGGCACAGACTGCTCTTCTGTGGAGCCAGTGACAACAGGACGCTGCTCCGCACTGTCTGCCCCTGACCCCGCTACTTGTCTTGTGCCCATGTGGATTTGCTGCTTTCAGGGAGTCCACAGCGACTGTGCTGTGCTCTAGGTGGCTGCGGCCATGGCATAGCCCAACACCGCCCGGTCTCAGTGTGCAGCGGGGTGTGAAGTGTGCCCTGCACCAAGTCGATGGCAGTGCAGCCAGAGAGGAAGGTGTAGGGGCCATGGGCAGGACCTGGCACCGGGCACCGCCACAGCACAGGGAGGACACAGTTTCATGGAGACTGTAGCAACATGGTTGTGTGTTGTGACTTGGGAACTGTTTTGTGGAAATATTTATGAAAATATAATATTTGGAAAATTGTGTGGTAATTTGGGAACTTTTCTGGGAATGTGTGGAAATGTGAGTTTTTTTGTGTGAAAAACTGGTCATATTGCTTGGTAATTTGGAAACTTTTTTCTGGAATTGTGTGTGGAAATGTGATGTGCAGAAAACTGATTATGGCACTAGTAGTATAAAGTTTATACTGTAAATGCCATCATTTTTAAGTATAGCTGTTGTTAAACACTATTAATTTTATATGTGCAGCCCCCAAAACTCATTAAGTGGCCCTCCAGCCCAAATAATTACCTACCCTGAGCTAGAGGATTACTCTCACCCATGTTACCAGGTTTCTGTATTTTCTGTGAGAAAAGGAAAAGACCGACATAGACATCAACCATTTGTTCAAAAGCAATTTCCTGAAGAGCTTAGAGAAAGCAAGACAATTTAGTGGACTCAATAAAGTTGCTATAAATAATACTTGGATTGCCTCAAGCAAATGCTTTTACATACACACACTTGTTTTATTTACATTAAATGGTGGATCAGTGAGAGCCCAATCCCAGGCTCCCCCTGCACCAGCAAGAAGCAAGTTCCTGCAGCTGGGAGCCCCCTTAGCTGACATGGCTCCCAGTCACAGGGGTGCATGGTGCACCCCCACAGCTGGGAGCCAGCATCAGCTAGGACCTCCCAGCCTCGGGTGCACATGAGTCCCCACAGGTGGGAGCTCCAATCAGCTGCACAAGCACAGGCTACATGTGCAAATTAAAGCTGGATAGAAACCAGCTATTCCATTATTACACATTTTCCAGCAATAACTGTATAGGTGGTGGGACCTTTTTAAGGTGACATTGTTAATTTGCATGTGTAGCCAGTTAAATTAATTGTGCTATTAACCAAGTAATTGTATAATGCACCTGTCTTTTAGAGAGGAGGTCTGCATGTGACTCAGTACCTTTGATTTACTTCCAATAAGTATTTTAACTATGATATAGCAACAATAAAAAGAACTACTTATTTATTTTAATTGGATTGAATTGATGACTTGGGAGTTTCTTTTAAAAAAATAAGCCAAGACAACCAACACTTCTGTAAAGGTCAGTCATCTTATCAGACTTTCAGACGCCAAATTCTGCCAATTCTGTGCCTCGTCCGTTCTGAGGATAACTGTGGGTTTTAGAATTAATTCATTGTTTATCATTGCCTTAATTACAGTAAGATTTGTGTTTGGGGTGTAACATAGCAGAGACTAGGACTACAGTTCACCAGCAGTCACAGTCCTGGGGGTGGAAATTTGCACCTTCCTCTAATAATCTTTCCTGACTGATGTGTCAAGTAGTGCTGACAC